TGTATGTATATTTTTACTATGTACCTACCTATATTTTTATATGTATATTTTTGTATGTATATTTTTAATATGTATATTTTTACAAATATAAGACCAGAAAAATTGGTTGTTTAAATCAATCTTAGAGAATGTATTTTTTTAAAAAATACTCCAAGAAAATTAATTTTTCTTGCTATTAAAATAAAAAAATCAAAAAATCTAAATTAAAATTTAAAAATAATTGTTGCATTAAACATTCTACGTAATTTGAAAAAAAAAAATGATATAAAAATTACCTTCGTTTGCTTAGCCCGTTCAGATCCGGCGAGATCGATCATGAATAATCTCCCTTGCTTTATTTTGTTACGCACACGTTGTTCGTCATCTTGAACTCGACGAGACAATTGTTTAACTATAACGCTGAGAAGCGCATGACTTCGTGACGAAGTCTTATTCGCGGCAGTCGGCTCTATTGTCCTCGCTTTGTTACCTCTGTGTAACAGCTGCATTACCTGTAAATGTTAAAGAAACCACTCAACGTTGTTCACTCTGAAGGAACGCAGTAAAATTATAGGCAGAAATCATAGGGCATTACGTTTCTTTTTCTCATCACTGTGTGTGATTAAAAGTTAATGTATTCAAATTATTATTTTTTTGTTATTCTTTTTCTTATATAATTGGCTACGTTTTGATTGAGGTTTCTTTATAAATAAGCTTTTATAAATAAAGTTTATATTTTGGTTGGTATTTAATAGTTTAAAAAAATTAGTTTTTTTATAACTTTGCACGTGCAAATAATAAAATTATAATTTTTTAACACTAAACAATCAACAGTCCATTTATTTCTAAAGAGATTTAGAAAATTTATAAAAATGTTTAATATTTTCCGAGGAATACGGATACATAAACGTAAAAAAACATGATTTTTTACAAGAATGCACTTCAAAAATTTAATGTTGTTTGGCGTCACACAGTCTTACATTCATTATTGCAACAATTTATATATTTCTTTTTTTTTATTTCAAATTTTCAGGATACAAGTAAAGGATGCTAACTAGTGACAAATCAAATAAGAATTTAAAATAAACTTTTCTAATTATTTCGTGATTATTCGCTTCTAATCTAGACCGAAAAGGACTATATATTTAACTGCTTTTGATGAATATTTAGACATATCCAAATATAATTTTTTTTGAAAATTGTAGGAGTTAATCTACTTGTTTTAAATCGTTTAAATTAATATTTCGATCATTTTTTTAATGCACCTTGCTTCTTAAACTTGCGTTATATTACAAAAATAAATACCTCTTCTGTCGAATTGGTAGAGACTTCCGTCAATCCTGAGACTTGAACGTTGCGACCACGAGTATCGTCGCGTAATTCCAGATATCCCGAATTAGGATTGAGAAGATCGCGAATGTTTTCATTGTAAATCTCCATGTATGACATCGTTACCTATGAAAAAAATGAAAATGTTTAATAAAAGAAATCCGTAAGGTTTCAGAAAGAGAGAGAGGAGAAAAAATAATCCAAATAATTAACATTTACAAATATATGCGAAAGGATTCTTAGGGCAAATAAAATTTTGTTTTTTATCAAGATAATGTCGAAATAATAGATAGACGTTCAAATTATAAGACATTAATTGATTAATACACTTAACAATATCTCACATAACTCAACAGATAAATTTTTTTTACTTATTATATCTTGTAAATATCATCTAAACTAAACATTGTTTGCAAAGCGCGAATTTCGGACAATTTGATTAATTAACTCTCAAAACTTTAGGACTCTATTAACTAAACTTAGGGCTGTTATTGTTATCACGCGAAGTCTAAGAGACCTTACAACCGATGTAAGACTAACTGATAATTTTCTGCAAAACATTTCAAATACTCGAAGCTGTGATTAACGATTACAATTGATAAACCACTTTTTAATAAAAATTTTTGCAAAGCAAAACTTATAATTGTTTAAGCAATTCTATCAGTCAATATTCTGTTAACGTTTAAAATAAAACGGAGTATCTAATTATATAGGGGAGACCGGGGCTAAGCCGACACTATTTTTTCAAAGGCAATTTTTAATATTTAATTAAAATTTTTAGGCAAATTCAATGGTATATATTTAAAGAGTGTTTCTTCAGATACAAAATTGATTCAGGAAGTTTTGCTGTACGTCACTTTGTTTTGCCGCCAGGAAAGCAAAAGTGACGCGAAGACAAATTTTCAAATTGAAAAATGCCGGGGTAAACTCGACACTTTGCCTGATCGACACAATTTGATCTGGAACTTATTTTTTATTGTCTGAAACTAAATATACATTTGTTTATCGTGTATTTAGAAAGTACAAAAATTTGGAATTAAGTAAAACAATCATTGGAAATAATGAGAACAAAAATTGTTAAACATTCAATTATTTTAATCTAAACTCATGTCTGAAAAACAATTTATGCAAGTAAATTCGCGATTACACGTGCGCACACATTTGTCATGGACCATATGCTGCATTACAAGCATCGTTTATTATTGGGAACTAATAAAACAGCGTGTCGACTTAGCCCCTGTCGACTTAGCCCTGAACGTCGTTTTTTACTTTTGTTACTCCAAAAATATAAAAAGTTTGAAAATATGCAAAAATTATTATCGGATTCGTATAAAGCATCGAATTTCCTATCAAAATTACTTACCGGTAGATTCGCAAGAGTAAAACTCGATGAAAGAGTAGACATTTTCGAGAGATCAGAAAAATTACTTTTTACTATCAAAAACGCTTATGTCGCGTTAAAAATTACACTATAACTCAGAATGTTACCAAATTCCGTTGATAATACTGGCACATAAAGACGCATTTACAGTAGGAAAGGCAAGTTTCTACGATAGATTTAAATTGGCAAAAAGCCTAGTGTCAAGTTAGCCCCGTTGTCGGCTTAGCCCCGGTCTCCCCTAACGATCGACAGATATGTTGAAATTAATTCGGATCATAAAAAGTTAATAGCAAAATAAGATATTAGTATTTAGTGTTTTGTTCATATATTGTTATTTGTAATCAAATGTTGTGAGTAATGAACGTTGTGAATATTTGAATACATAAAGTGAATGAGAATGCACTGCATAAGTAGTTCCTTATCGTAATTTCGTGCACGCAAAATACACGTAATGTAATTATATTATACGTATGTACGTATAATGTGCATGTATGCATAATGTGCTTCTATCGTGTGTGAGCAGGCGAATACCATGATACTTATCAGAAATTTATGCAACTTCTACATGGACGTAAAAATGTGTTTTTTACTACATATTAATGCAAGCTATTAATCGGAAGACATGCAAATACCTGTGTGCAATACTTCACGACTGAACCAAAATAATTAGGTCAGGAAGTAATTTATCATAAAGGAACCCGCGGTGCATAATAGGAATGCTAAGGTTTTAAACAGGTTTAAAACATATTAAATATAAATAAATAAACGAGAAAGACTCTATTTTTATATTCGACAACATTTGGCTAATGTCGTGACAATTCGATCATTGGTTTTGATCAGATTAATCGTCAAGACTTTTTCGACCATGGGTTTGGGTCGTTTCTAAATTGATTTAATCTTTGATACTTACATATTAAGCATCTCATTTTTATTAAATTAAATTATTAAATTTATTGCGAAAAATATTACCTTAGCCAGAGTTCGAACCTGGAAACTCCCTCATTCCATGTAGGGCATCGTATCAATTCGACCATTGAGGCATGTAGTAATATTTATGGCAATAACAAATCTTACTAATATGGAAACACCGATTTTTAGTCTTGACATGTAGACGGAGGTGGATGGGGAGGTGGATTCAGTTCGCGTGGAAAGTTGAAAACCCGAATCGTACAATGATAGACCTCGTTTTGCCCTGTAAGCAGGGGTGGAGTGGGGTAAATCTCGCTTTTCGTGGATAATTCTCTAGACAGCATTGTACTTTCCACGCAAAGCGAGATTTACCCCACCCGATTCCATCTCTGCTTATAAGGCAAAACAAAGTTTATCATTTATGTTTACGCGAGCGTTACTTCTGTAGTAACTTACGATAATTCCTTGGCATAAACGGGATTTTGTAGTAACTTACAATAATTTACTCCGCGTAAACGAGTGAATTATCGTAAGTTACTATACAGAAGTAACGCTCGCGTAAACGTAGTAATTGTACGGTTGATGTTTTCAACTTTCCACTCCCACCCACCCCTGCCTACGGGGAAAAGGCGGTAGCCACTCGGCACTCCTTCGACTACATGTTTACTGTCTATATACATATATTAGCAAATTACTTCCTTTAGCACTGAAAATAATTTGATCAGGCGATTCTTTTGTCCGATGCGCGGTTTCACAAGTCTAATATTAGTGAAATAAAAAAGATCCTTATTAATAATTGTTACCCGAAGAAAGTTGTTGATAAATATGTCAATGTCCGGCTTGGCGAATTGCGAAATCGTAATAACAATGATCCTGTCAGTAGCGAAGTGGCCCAAGATCCTCGAAGGTGCATTACTGTACTTTACATAAAGGGCCTTAGCGAGAATGTTAGCCGTACAATGCGAGACATGAACTTTAGAGTTCTTCACACCATCCCGAAGAGATTGGATTGTGTCATTAGGAAGGGTAAAGACGGGTTGCCGAATCTCAGTCAGGCTGAGTTAGTTTATAAGATTGATTGTGCAAATTGTGATGCGGTATATATTGGCCAGACAAAAAGGCATTTAGAAACACGCATCAAAGAACATCGATGTGATATCAGGAAAAATGTAGATAATCATTCTGTTGTGAGCAAACACCGTCTTGCACACAATCATGATTTCAAGTGGCAGCATCCGAAAATTTTATACAAAAAAAACATTTTAAAAAAAGTAAAATATCCGAAATGTTTTTCATTAAAAAACATGATTGCGCAATCAATTTACAAAACGATACTGAGAGCCTGCCATCTATTTATAACCGTGTCATTGGTATTACTTAGTCGGCCCTGTATATTCGGTTTTGCTCGTTTTTCCACCAGAGCGCCGTTTGCTGTCCGCGGATTACGTTTGACAACTTCATTTCGACTTTGACTGTCTTACTGTTCGGACGTGCCTTGATATGGCTGGTGACGTTTTGATTTCACCGTTTGTTTTGGAACGCATAAAAATTGTAAATTTTTAACTAATTTTTACAGTGTTAATTGATTTTATTGTTTTTGACTAGCGCGATATTGTAATGATTTTGTATAGTTTTTTTATTGTTAAATGTATTATTTTCTCTTTTGTTTAGTTTTGCGTTGGTCTTGACGTTGTCAGGACACCACGTCAACGATGCAATTAAGTTTGTTATGCGGATCGGTGTAACTTATTAAAGCACTTGATAAGGACCGGAATTCGGTCGAAACGTCGTGCAATCTTGTTTCAATTGGCCAGTTGGGTCAAAAATAAAACGACTTATTTTGAATTATTTGCTGGCGACGGAAATTGTTTTGTTTATATTAATTTTTTTAGGTTTTTATTTTCATTAAATAGTTACTTTATAACTGTAAAAGTCACAACAAAAATCCTGTTTGTAATTTGACAATTTTGAAAATTAAAATATTATATATAATAGGTACATTTTCATTACTACATCCGCTCATTTATTAAACAAGAAGTTAAATTAAGCAATTTAATTAAATTATTAATATTAATAAGATTAATATTATTAATATTAATAAGATATTTGTATTTACATTAATCAAAATAAAAAATAAGTTTAATTATAAAATAAATATTAAAGACAGAAAATAAAAAAGTTTTTATATATAAACACCTATATACAGGCATTATACTAATTATAATTGTGTTCAGCACAGAAAGCTGCTTTGCAACTGCAGTTGTAAAATTCGTGAATTTGATTGGTGTATTACTCTTAGTTTCGGCCAAAATTAAAAACCAATCACATTCACAAATTTTACAACAATTGCAAAGTAGTTTTCTCTGCTGAACACAGCTTTTTATTACTTGCATTATATGTATAAGCCGCCATTTGCTGCGCATGCGCAAACAATCCGGCAACTGAGCAACAACTTGAATATTTTGTTGAGCGCCGACGACGCCAAACAGCAGTGCTGCAATTGGATATAAGTCCGTGATCGGAACTTTGAAAGGCTGTTGATAGGCTAAAATAAGGTAGAGAACAACGTAAGTCGTGAAAGGCTATATATTGTATAGTCTTTTACGTCTTACGTTTTTCTATGTATGCTTTACTTTATATCCACGCTACGACAGACGTCTTGTTCTTTGTCATCAACCGAACGCTGCCCTTGCGGCAACCCAATGCAAAATATTAACCATGTAATATTTAATTGCGGATTGTACTGTAGTAAAGCCTCTTATTTAGTCAAATACATTGAAAAAACCTTTCCTCAATCTTTAAGAGATATTCTCCCATTTTTAAATAATCTCCCTTATCAATTCATCCGTCTTCTCCTCGCAACTTGCAAGTCTCTGGATCTCCCCCCCTTAGAAAGAGCCGAAGAGTTTAATCGGAGGATCATGTTAATCGGAGACGGTGAATCGGCCCATATCTACAGTGAGGAAATAATAATCAATATCGAATCAAAATCGATTTATTCTGAGTCGAAAAGTCATCGAAAGTTGTGCCATAAATCAATCAAAATCGATGAATATTTCAATTACTTTTCGATATACGTTTTCGACGTCAACTAGACGTCGATTCGACAGGTCATTTTTCGCTGGGATAATATATGTGAAGGAGGTCATTGAGGAGGGGTTCGTAAATGTAAATATTTATCCTTTAGATAGTATAAATCATTACAAATAATCTATATTTACACAGATATATAGAGGAGACCGGGGCAAAGTCGGCCCTTTTTTTTGGTGCCGATTTTTAACAACAAAATAAATCATTTTAGTGAAATATAATATACCATTGTAAAGAGTGAACCTTTAGCTACAAAATTTATACAGGCATTTTTTATCTACGTCGCTTTGTTCAATTGGTATAGAGTAAAAACGACAAAAGTGCAAAAATCGAAAAGTCAAAATTCCCGGGGCGGAGTTGTGTCTTCATTATCGGACTGGATTTTAAATAAAGATACATAATTTTGATCATAAAAAATAATAGAATACATTTTATTCAATGTTTTTTAGTAGAAAAATAATAATTTCATCAACAAAATCAATTTTCTTTTTTGCTATCAGTATCATTGAAACAGTTAAAACATTTAAAGACAGAATTTGACGAACGCACGCACTTGTTGTGTGCCTTACGCTTGCACGAAATGCACTGTTTTTTGTCAGCTCTGTTTTCTATCATGTCCGAGCATACGCAGCACATATTATTTAATTTTATTGACTTTGTTTTTCGCCCACTGCTCGTTGCGGTCCTCATTGCGTGGCATTTTTTTTTGACCGGCCTTTTTTTCTCGGCGTAGTGATAATGGTCAATTTTGTCGTTCTCTTTCTTGTAGCAGATTTCTCATCTTTCTTCCACACTCTGCCTGCTCAGTCGCCAATTCCTTCATTTGAGGCGAGTTAGTAAGGACGGCGGTCATTCTTCGTTTTCGTCCTTTACGAGTTGTCTGCCTCGGAGCCAGTCGGAGCGGCTTTAGGAAACGCTCGAATACTTTCAAGCGTCGCGCTCAAGTTCCGTGTAAACACGTTTGCTTCGATAACAATCACAACATGGCACGTAACCTCACTAAACTCCGTGGGTCACGTGTGCACCATAAGCCGCCTTTACACTATTAATGGTGGAAAGTGCATGCGTGGTGGCAGTAGGTTCCGCCCCCCCTGCGGTCACATGGGTTTGTGGCGTGCTTTACAAGCTCATTTAAGTAGAGTTGGTATTAAACAAGATAAGTTAGTCGATTATCTGTGTAAAGATTTGTGGCGATATACAATAAAAAGAATTGGAAAAGACCCATTTTATGTATTACTAGATAACATAAAATATGTGTATTCAGGAAATTAATAGAGAATATATAATATTTCATTATGTATATATATAAACGAGCTCATCGAATGACAGTAGTAGCAAGACGAGCAGGGTGGAGGAGAGAGGAAGCGTCGAGCGGTGGGAGCTGAGAGGTGTAGTTCGGCCGCTGCGGGCAGGAGGTGAGAAAAAGAGAGCTGAGGTAAAGAAGAAACAAGCGCGCGAAGGTGAGGATGAGGATGTTTCTGGTCGATAAGGTGAAAAGGACGGGGGCGAAGAAGAAGAAAAGAAAAGGAGAAGAGGGAAGAGGGCAAAGCGAGAGAAAAAAGCTGACAACAGAATCAGTGGTGGTGTTATGAAGAAAGGGGATATGTGGCTAGGGGAAGAGAAGAAAGAGGCAAAGAAGTATACGGGACGGGAGGGTTAAAAAGAGAGCAGGGATGAGAGTCTAATAGTTATTAGTTACACAAGGAGACGAACGCAAAGAGACGGAAGGGTAGCAGAGTGGAGGATATATGAATTAGAGTTGCAGCGAGGACCTAACGATGGAAAAGAAAAAGCGAAGAGGAGGGTTTGGGTGGATGCAGGGAATGGAGGTGGATTGAGGAGAGAGAGGGCTCGGAGAAAGAGTAAGGTAGGAAGGGGGGCGGAGGAGAAGGATGTAGAGAAGGGGAGGGGAAAAGGAGAAGAAGCGAGGAAGGGAGGGAGGGAACGAGAGTGTAAGAGGTCGCATACGGCCAGGTCGCGAGGAGAAGTTTGTTCTTGTAAGAGGTTTGGGTACGTTCCTTACAAAAACGCCTTGTAAACCCTGCGGGGATAAACAATAAACTCATACATACATACATATAAACGAGCTTATAAAGCACGCCACGAACTCATGTGACAACTCGTCTCGCGTGAAAAGTGTATGCGTGGAGGCAGTAGGTTCCGCCCCTCTGCGGGGGGCTCCACTATTGTTAAACTAGACACATAGTGTGTCTTCAAATTTGCTGCTTTAAATAACTTTTCTTTGTTCATGCATGTACTATTTCCATATATATATTAGTCTTTTATGACTTTTAATACTCAAAATAACTGCTATATTTTTCAAACTTTTTTTGTTAATAACTTTTTAATAAAAAACGACCGCCGGCTAAAACCTTCTGAAGGTCACTCAGGAGAGTGACCTTGACAACATATGTCAAGGTCAAGGTTATTGGCGAGTGGGGTCTTTGTAAATAATTACTGAAAACTGATAACAGCACGCGGTTAGAGACATCTCCAGTAAAAAATTTTTTATATAAAAACATATATCTATAAATATATACAATTATGTATAAAATATGTCCATACATGTTTTTTTTCTTTTGTATAATCTGTGTTCGTATATACAGGAAAAATAATAAAAAGAAGAAGCTAAAAATAATTAAAAATATTATTGCTTCCTCATAGAGGAAGCTTTGTGATGGTGAAAAAAAAATTTTTTAAGATTTTGATGGAAATAGGTTTAGAATGTTCCAATTGTTTAGATGGTCCAAATGTTCCAATTTTCGTCTTAACTTCTGCCTCAGCGACTCGTAGACGGTTGACGATGGTTTGACTGCTGAGAACTTTGTAGTTGGGCTCCAAGACGTTCATAAAATCCTTCAAAGCATTCGATGATAGAAAGTGGTAAGGTAATGTCGCAGTTGCGACGAGTTTTGTCAGAGCTTGAGTAATATGCTCCATACGACTCTTACTTATAAAATTTTGTGATCGAGGTGCGATCCTGCGAACTTTTTTAGTAGGAGGAACTGGCGTCTCTTCAACACCTTCAATCTCATTTTGGTTTAAAGTGCCTGCCTGCATGTCATTTATATCGTCCATTTGGCTACTGTCCAAAAAATTAAAATAATGATATTAATAAATTTAAATAAAAATTTTAAAATAATAATCCTACAGAGACAACTTCAAAAATTATAAGTCCAATTACACATGATATTCAAATTTGGATCAATCATGATCGAAATTTATTATTTTAGGCTCAATCATAATTAATTTATTTCTTTTCGATTAAGTAGTGCATAAAATAAGTGAAAAAATATTTTTGAAGTTTTTTAAACCCTAAATAAGGTTTATAAACTTTAAACTACTATATCTTCACAAATACACAAAGGCCAGACTAACATGTTTTAAGAAAGTAGAAAAAAATAGACGTGTAAAAATAAAACGAGGCAAAAAGCAGCAGTCCATCATCACTTTTACAAAAATGTTTCCACACCCAGCTTCTCATAATTTTTAATTAGCTAAAACATAGGAATAAAATTAGCATCCGTTCGATTTGGATTTGAAATTTTCTATAAAAGGCACTCAGAGGAATATTACAGGAGCTAATCGATAAATCTAATTTTTATTTAAAAAATGACAATACATTTATGTTTTCACCAAAAATTAATTAATATATGCAAGTTAAAGTTTTGTTTTTAGTTATTTAATGAAAAGAAATTTGTGAAATTAGAAAGTGCTCAAAAAAACGAATGGTAAAAAAGGGTATTGAACCGATGTATTAAAAAACGCGTGTCCTCGACTCACGTGCTCGCTCGCTCGACCTTGAGACCGCGGAAAAATTTTACTCTTTACACATTATCTATTAACTATTGTATAACATTATAAATTATTGTGCAAATTTCCACGTTAATCTGTGCATAAGCTGAAAAATATTACATTCTTTGGCTATATTTATGGAATACACGTAATGTTAATTTAATTTTGCAATAACACTTTTAAGAGCTTAAGGGCTTTGAATTTGGTGAAACATATTACTAATATATATATAAATACATATAAATACATATAATAAATGTATATAAATACATTTTATTTACTTACGAAATTCCCGTCTTGAAGTTGTACACTGTACAACACAACCGCAATATAAATAATTCGCAGTAGTCTCGCGTTATTTTCCTGCGCTCGGGACCTATGAGGCTAGCATATCTGACAAATCGGAATTTAAGCGAGAGCTATTCACGCGCAGTCGCGCGCGCTCTTCCTTCCATTGTGTACAGTTTTTGTGTATTATTCTAATAACTTTATTTGTGAAGGGACGGCAGTGAATGACGAATTCGAATTCAAATTTTCGAAATTGAAAATCTTCGAACAAAAATTCCAGCCCTAGTGCGTTCAACGCGCTGTCGTTAACCTATCTCGAGAGAGACACGGGACACGGTAGTATACGCGCGCGGCGCGGAGCTATACCAACCGTGACTCTTTACGCGACGCGACGATTAATATTTTTTCTGATTCAAGGTAATTGTTTTATTTACATGTAATTATCCTATTATTATACGACGCGAAGCGAGACCGCACCGTGACTCGATCTTTTACGCGACTAAGTGCATGTGACAGGAATTATAAATAGTTTACGTTTACGTGAGTATTACTTCTGCAGTAACTTATACGAACGATATCATCATAGTTACTATAAAATCTTTCGTTTATGCGGAGGAATTATCATATCGTTCGTAAGTTACTACAGAATTAAGTAACGCTTGCGTAAACGTAGTAATAGGTTAGATTACCGGTTTCTTACAAAATTTTACATAAAACGTGAGATTCACTTATGTATGCAAGTTTAAAGCCTATTGAGTTAATATGAAATAATTTTCCTAAATGTAAAAATAACACGATGTTATATATTCGGTTTGGCGTGAATATATATCGCACAATAGCCGAGGTGATTGAAGTTGTGTATAATGTCCCGATTCAACGGCCCCTGTCCCTGTTTGAGAGTGTTAATAATGACATTAATATCTCTCACACTGTCAAGCCAAATTGGCTCTTCGTTCAGCTTCCGATTCATTCATCATTTCTCCTTTTGCAAAATTTGGAAGACAGCATGTTGTATTGGTTGGTATAACAATGAATTGCTGCCAGTTCCAGATGTATTGAACAGTAAGTGATATAATCCTAACACGTTGAATAAAAAAGAAATCAGGATATTCTGATTATACAATACATTTTTACTTTGCAGAGGATGATTACGTAGCTGTATATTGGAGCAACAAATGGATTAGAGGATGCATTGAACGTCCAGATCCATCGGGAGAGAGAATAAGCGTAGTACGATTACTCGATCACGGTGGTTACTGGCAGTTTAGTAATTCGTAAGGCCATTGATGTATAATTATTTGAGCCTACCCTTCCAAGCCATCGAAATCTTTTTAGCAAATATTCAACCAAAGAACGGTAATTATATATTGACGTTATTTATATACTATTCTTCCAGATTATACATCTCTACTCAAAATTATTTATCTTTGGATATGTAATTATACTTCGATGTTACTCTTTTGCAGGTAAATGGTCGACAGAACCTTACAATGTGGCACAAAATTGTTCCTCAAAGGGAGTTACTGCTCAAGCTCAGATTGAAGGTCGCATTCAAACTAATATTTATGCAAATATTTATTTTATGATACAAAATTATGGGGTAAGTAGTTATTATTATTCAATCTTCGAGAATCTTTTTGCAGAAGCGCAAATTAATTAAAATTAATTGAATTTTTTTTAAGCTAATTTCCGTTACTGAAGAACTGGTAATAAACGGACATGCTGAACAAGTAGCATGGGACCAGATGAAGCTAGAAACACTTGAATTCATCCGTACATAAGAGTTGTCAAGAAACTCTACAATTTTCACG